AGCAGGAGCAGGAGTAGTAGGAGTAGCAGCAGGAGCAGGAGCAGGAGCAGGAGCAGGAGCAGTACCAGTGGTAGGAATAAGACTGGCAATAATAATGGCACTCGCACTACTAAGAAAATAGTAACGATGATAGTATATAAATATAACAGACAGCAGCGTCAGGAATCCAATTATCCCGCTGAGGTATGTTTCTTTACCCACGGAAATCTTGGTGCTGGAGTGTCCCACAAGAGCTGACTTTGGGCTACGGCTTCGTGACTTGGTCTCAGATAAGGGTTTGAGTTGTTGGGCTTCGGGCGGTCGTGTTGCGGCCAACCACTTCAGTCCTCGATCCAGTTGCTTTTGCGTTGATACGGAAGTAGTGCCGAAGTTCCTGAAACCCTAAACCCTAAACCCTAAACCCTTTTGAAGTCCGTGCCGGAAGGAGGAGCCAGACCAGGAGGAGCCAGCTGATGGACGATAGTGGGCGTATACATTCATGCACGTGCATAATTATGAAGACTTGAAGGGGACTCCTTGCACTTCATGGAACTGACAAACATGTGGGAACAAAAGCTGGATTCATCTCCTATGCTCAGCTGGCTTAGCTGTCCATAGAAAATCTATATCTTCATGCACATGTATATGCAAGATATTCCTTCGCGCATCATTGCTTCTGGTTTCCCATGAAAGTCTACAAGAGGCTCGTCGACTTCCTCATACACCGCGTTGTGTGCGTGTCAGCTTAAGTGCGTTTCACCCTTTGGCAGAAAGCCGCCAGCTATTAGATACAGGAATTCACTCTAGAAGTTCAGTACGAAAGAGCGAGTGCAGCCAAAAAAATGTTGCCAACGTCTGGACACTGGCGTCGAAAGCTTCAGGTCCGCTGCATGCAACAATTTACGTACTGTCCATCTAGGATCTGTTCGCTTGAACTGCTCGTGGCGTTCAAGCTCAGCTGTTGTCATGTTCAAATTTGGGATAGCATCTAGTCATTCCGATGGAAAGACAGATGCAGTGCACAAAAGACATCTACAGACCATCCGAGAAGGTAAGCCATCTCCCTACCCTCGGTAGTGTAGAATTTGACAGCTTGCATAGATTACCGCAATTTATCAGAGAGCGATGGCCAGTCTGGCAGCCTCTCCAGCGCCTGTCGCGCGGGCGCTCAGTGCCCACAACAACCCCGTGCCCAGCAATCCAAGAGGAGCTTCTGAAGCTGCGAGGCCGCTGGGAGGACGCCAGGCCGTGCCACTGCTTGGGGTGTGCGCCTGTGCCGTATCTCGCACACAGCGGCAAGTGCAACGGAGTTGGCATCGGAATCCTGGCAAAGTCGTCCGTGCGGCTGCTGAGCCAAATGCTGACGAGTTGAGGGAGCTTTGGCAGAAAGCCTACCAGCCGCTCGGATGATTCATCTTTGCAGGCCCCACATCTCAGAACCTGGCAAGCCCTAAGTGCGAGCATGGGCCCCCAACCTCGTAGAATTGAGATTCGTTTTCACTTTCCCAGCTCTTTGCAACACCAGGCTTGGTTGCTACTGCCGTCAATATGCATTCATGGGACCATAAATTCGGGCCCCTTGTTCAAGGAGAAGATGCCCCTAAACCCCATGCACAGCGAGGCTCGAGCACGAGCGCAGTGAGGGGCTGAGGAGCTCAGATTCTCCTACACTGCCGGCGGCCCCGGAGGAAAACGCCACAGCCGAAGAGTGGCAAGCGGCCTACGAAGCACTGAAGGCTCGACGCCTGAAATCTTCAGCAGCAGAGTAGTCAACTCTTCGCCAGGATGAAAGTGTAGTAGCTCTGCTCATGTCGATGAATGATAACCTTGCTGAGATGCTAGAAATTGTCTTGCTACATTCATGCCGTTCATGCATGCATCTGATCGCAGGAATCGTTCCTTGCAGCTTGTGCTTGGCTTGCCGCATCTACCTCACGGCTCTGCAAGTTGCAAAGGTAAGAAGCTTTCATCAAGATCTAGTGCCGAGGTTCGTGCGATGATGCTTACTGTAATTGCCGCTGGGAAACGATGTTGAGCCCCATCAGCCCCCTCGATTTGCAGCTCCATTACTCTACATTCCTGCATCGCTGTAGTACGCTTGTTTTCTGCCTCCAGCTCCTTTTCCGGTCGTCTAGCGCTTTTCGCAAGGTACTGTTGGCTTGATGGCCCATGTTGAGCAAGCGTACATGTGTCCCGATTTGAACTGTGAAAGCTACCTTCTTGCAACCGATACAATTGGACCAGAATCTGAACATCGACAGGAGAAAGGACTTCAATGAGTGACAACATCCAATCCTAAAATCAGCCTCAACCAAAACCCATCAACCCTCGTGCCATGCCAAAGCAGCAGCAACAAACATGAAGGTCTGCAGCCCTAAGAACCCTAAAGCAATTAGATGCAATTAGGCAGTAGGGCATAAACTTAAAGGTTTGGGCGTCAAGGTTCTTCCGGGTCTAGGATTTCGCAACTGAGCTCACAGGCGGCGAATGCCGATCTGGAACGAGCGAAGCGTGAGCTGCTGGCGGCGCAAGAAGCAAGCGAGGACTCGAGTGAAAGCGCAGAGGTGGCATCTTCTGCATACTCTTTATGAGAGGTCAAGGCTTTCTTTGGGGCTTTGATATGTTTCTGCTAAAGGAGGTCTGTGAGGATATATCACCGGCTTGCCGGCAGGGTTGGGGTGCGAGGGGTGGTGGGTTGGCTCTGAGCTGAATCGGCCCTCGTGAGCTTCCTTAGACGAGGCGAACTAGGACCCCTCCCCCTGAAGCTCTCAAGCTTACTTGGTCGAGCATAGACAACCGAAGGACCTGGCTGACAGAACACTTCATGCACAACCACACGGAAAACTACAGTACACTGGTATGAACCATGCCAAAAAGCTTGCTGAGTGCAGGCAGACGGTCCGAAAGTGCCAGATCCCGTGCCGACGAGAGCTTTCCGACTTCAAAGGATTTGTCAGAAGTATTCATTTCGTTTTTGAAAACGGTTGAGGGCTTTTGGTTTAGGGGTTGAGGATGATGAGTTTACGTGGAATATGCACATCACGACTTTCAGTCCAGCTCGTACTGTGCTTGGCAGATCCCCTTGCTTCTTCTTTCTTCCTCTGCCCAAGAGACACAAGGGCTCCAAACCAGAATATCGACATGGTGATGCAAATGGTAATATCTGGGCCAGTTACTATTGGAAAGTAACCACGAAGTGTAGCATTTAGCCATCATTTGGAGGATCCTAAACCCTAAACCCTAAACCCTATACTGGTGACACCAAAAAATGAACTACAATGTACTTCCTGGCTCATGGTGTCGGCTTAGGGTCGCCATACGGTTTATTCTGCTAAAGCCAGAATTTCCCACTACATGTTAAGGGGCATCGTAAATCCCAAAGCCTAAATGGCCCTGACCCAAGGTGGCAGGGCAAAACCCTCAACCCCGTCCCCGAAAGCATAGGCATAGCCACGCCCCTAGACTCTTAAAGCCCTATATAGACCCTCAACCCGAAACCCCTGAAGCAAAGCTTGACACTCCATCCTGGAAACCATAGTTAAACTCCTAAACTCCAAAGTTCTATAAATTCCTAAACTCCAAAACCCCCAACCCTCGTGCCCCAACGAATAGCCTAAAGCCTCATATCCCCGAAGCTAAAGCTAAAGGCGACCCTGAATAAGACCTAACACCACCCCAAAGCATGACCTAAAAGTATGAGTACAATCCAATAGCATAAACCCCTATACAGCCCTAGATAAAGCCACAAGCCATCGCTTCCAGCCCAGGTCGCTAAATCCTAAACCCTAAACCCTACACCCTAAACCCTACACCCTAAACCCTAAACCCTAAACTCTACCCTAAAAAGGCTTCCCAAAGGCTCGGAAGCCTTGCTCCCGACGCGGAGGCGTCGGAGGAGTCGGGGAAGGCCCAGGGGGGATGGGTTACTTTGGTAGTGCTCTAAGTTCGGGTGCCTTTAAGGGTCCTGTTTTTTTTTTAAGGTGCCGGGCTGTATTGGGGACCCCAAAACGGGGCCCTAACTTCGAGAACTACCCATGTAAAGGCCTGATTTTGATAAGCACCACTGGTATTTCTCCTAGCTCACCATATGATCTTTACAAAAAGTACCACTCGTATTCCTGGTCATACCGACAGACGATTGTATACACAACCAACAAGCTCAATGTGTCGCTTCCCCAAGGTGTTGAGGCTCCTATGTGAGCATTCAGAGACTGGGGGATTGCGGGTTAATTGGGAGATGCATTGACTGTAGGGTTCAGGGTTTAGGCTTTAGGGTTCAGGGTTTAGGGTTTGGCAGAGTCTGGGTTCAAAAGGGTTCAGGGTTTAGGGTGTCGGGTACAGGGTGCTCACGATTTAGGACTGGATTCGGGGTGACGATCTCCAATGCATGGTGTTTCGAGTAGGAAGCCCAACCGCACAATTTTGGCCAAAGCCCTTGAGCCTCCCCAGCATACCCAACAGAAGAGCCTAGAATCGGCACCCTCAGGGCTTTTTAATTTAGGGCTTAATCCCTGAACCCTAAACCCTGGTTTAGGGTTAGGGGAATCAGAGTTTGAGCCTTGAAGCCGCGTAGCAGAGGTCCTCAGCATTTTCGACCTGGCAGCGTGGCTCGGCGACGTAAATCAGAATCCAGGGGGGGTTTAGGGTTTAGGGTTTAGGGTTCCCTTTGACCCTGACCCTGACCCTGGAGAAGTATGCCACATCAAGATTTTGCTGGAACCGTGCAGCAGACTGTGGAATAGGACTGAGGATTTGGCGGTGATAGGTCGGGACTATGTAGGAATGTGAAATCACTGGACATTGATTTCTGACTTTTTGCTAAGAGCCATCCTCTCTAACCCTGCGCGCCATCGCTTTGACTGATCACTTGAAGGCTCAAGACGCATAGAGTCTGCGAGCCGTTCTTGGTTCTTCAACCAAAGAATATCATACACAACCCTCTGGAACCCTAAACCCTGAGCCCTCACCTGAACCCTTCCTCTGGTTCGGCAAAACGCCCAGAGGGAGCCGCTTTCCTGACCTCCGCGAACAGAAATGGGACGTCCAACAAAAACAACGCCCTAAACCCTAAACCCTAAACCCCTAAACCCAAAACCCCTAAGCCTTTCAACCGTAAACCCCTAAGCCCCTAAACCCAAAGCCCCTAAACCCCTAAACCCCTAAGCCCCTAAACTCCTAAGCCCCCTAAACCCTCAAACCCTACACCCCTAAGCCCCTAAGCCCCTAAAC